GGGGGAGTTGATGATGGAATTTTGGGAAGTGTCACCTCCCCCCAAATAATGGGAATTGTGGTGAAATCCCTGGAATTGTGGCTCACAGGGAGGCCAGGCCGGCAGAGGAGAGCAGGGTGAGGAGCAGAACCAGCAGCCCTGACTGGGTCACCTGGGCCAGCTTCAGCCCCTTGCCCAGGTCCCAGGCCTGTGGGGACACCGTGGGAATTGCCAGCCATTGTCCCCAAGGCCCTGCTGGGGGTCCCTGCCAGGGGACACGTCCCCAGCTCCCTCGGTGTCACCCCCTCCCTGCTCCCTGCTCCCATCCCATCATTTCTATTTCCTCTCCCTCTTTTTCCCATCCCCTTTGCCCATCCCCATTTCCCACTTCCATCCTCACTTCCCCCTCCCTTTTATCCCAGTTCCCATTCCAGCCCCTCTCCACACTCCCAATCCCAATCCCATTCCCCAATTCCTTCTCTCTCCATCCCATCCACTCTTCCCATTCCCTATTCCCTATTCCCATTCCCCATTCTCATTCTCCCCATTTCCATTCCCATCATTCCCATTTCCATTCTCATTCTCTCCATTCCCATTCCCCATTTCCAGTCCAATTCCCATTCCCATTCCCATTATTTCCATCCCCATTATTCCCATATTTCCATTATTCCCATCCCCATTCCCCATTTCCCATCCCCATCCCCATTATTCCCATTATTCCCACATTCCCATCCCCATTATTCCCATTATTCCCAGTCCCATTATTCCCATCCCCATCATTCCCATTATTCCCATCCCCATTCCCATTACTCCCATTATTCCTATTATTCCCATTATTCCCATCCCCATCATTCCCATTATTCCCATATTCCCATTATTCCCATCCCCATTATTCCCATTTTCCCATTATTTCCATTCCAATTATTCCCATCCCCATTATTCCCATATTCCCATTATCCCCATCCCCATCATTCCCATTATTCCCATATTCCCATTATCCCCATCCCCATTACTCCCATTATTCCCATTATCCCCATCCCCATTACTCCCATTATTCCCATTACTCCCATATTCCCATCATTCCCATTATTCCCATTATCCCCATCCCCATCATTCCCATATTCCCATTATTCCCATTATTCCCATTCCCATCCCCATTATTCCCATTATTCCCATCCCCATTCCCATTATTCCCATTATTTCCATTATTCCCATCCCCATTATTCCCATTAATCCCATCATTCCCATATTCCCATCATTCCCATCCCCACTGGGAATTCCACACACCCACT